CCTGCCCAAACCACTCCAACGTAATAAGCCAATTTGGCATACAGGTTTGATTCTAGGGTGTAGAGGTTTGATAAGAAGGAGTTTTTCGAAATTCCAGTTCCAAGAGGGTGAAACCACCCCTCAAATATTACAATATTTTTATTTAAAAACGGTCAAGTTTCCGAAAAAACGCTAAACACGATATATATTTTATTTTGTTTTTTTACATATTTTAATGCTTTTTAATGTAATTTTTACAATTGAGGGTGAAACGCCCCTCAATATTACAATATTTGTTATTTAAAAACGGTTAGCCTTTCGAGAAAACGCTTGGACAAGCATAATTTATTTGTTTTTTTTACATATTTTGAAATTTTTAAAAAACATACAGGGTGTTCTAAAAAGTTGGGTAATTGATTAACCACGATTCTGCTTAAACTGCTTGACGTAAAAAGCTTATTTTTGAAAACGGATTTACCGGAAAGTCGAATTCCAATGAGAGATGAAACTACCCCTCAAATATTACAATGTTATATAATAATATCGCCATATTGTTTTTCAACTTCATGCTGACATAAATGTGAGAAGTATTCTTATCCAGTTTATGTTAATGAAAATTCTTGCTTTGTTTTATCATCACCATTACAAATGATCGATTCGTCGCGAACGAAGTCGCTGGTACATCTAGCATATAACACCAAATTTAGAGGCTAAATATATTTTAAATTTTTTTAACATAATTCAAACTCGACTAAATACCGCAGTAATTTGGGCTACTACACATCGTAAGCTTCTTGATTAAGATAAGGCAGAGAGCATGATAAACTCCGCATAAGCAAGAAAAGAGGAAACAGAGCATATAAGAAAAAGTAATTTAGCTCGGATAGATTACGGATTAAAAAAAGAAACTACAGTGGGCGTGTTTCTAGCAAAATCGTGGGAGAAAATCAATTAAGCCCGGATCTAATGGTTTTAAATGGCGCACATGTTGCACCGAGGGAATTCAACTTTTTGGACTTTAATTTGGAGAAGGACCAAGAAGCGGAAAGCTGTATACGGAAATGTATACATTGTATTGTAGGTATTTAATTAAATGCTGAGTAAATAAAACGTGTACTTCAAGACAACATTTTGTATAATACAATAAACTTGTATTGTTTCAGCAAAGTTTATAGAGTCCGTGTAATTAAAATTTTTAGTGTTAATGTGTGACAATAAGTTTATAGTGATGTTTCAAATATAATTTTAAAATTTTCAATATATTATATTGTAATAATGGTGTGTGATTACAAATACATTGAAGCCTGTCAAAATTTTGATGATCAACCTACTTGCTATAATAATGTTTTAAGATATTCATTTCACTCATTTTGTCTTTTATATTCACGTGAAGCAGGGCTTCAATAAACGCCTCCAGCGGTTTCGGTTGTTGACAATTGATTTGATTATCTCGCCAAGACTCGATTTTTGCTGCTTCGATAACCTTTTTAACTGTCCTTTGCCATGTATATATTGTGGCCATATTGACGAGCAGTTCTACTGCCTTTTTTGCACTCAATATAAGCTGTACTTAGCGATGTTGTTGCCACCCCATCGCCTTGCTGTGTGGACCAATCCACCTCCATTTCCTAAGTTTGATCTCATTATAAACCTGCCTCTGGTTGGTCAGTCAAAAGCTCCATAAGTCTTCATTTGATAGTATTTGGCCTGAATATTCTACAATTTTTCGCAGACACAGCGTTTTATGGAAACTTGGAGTTTGTTAATTAATTGCGATGTAATTTTCCAGTTCTCTACACCATACTGACTTGATATTCTAATTGAAAATTTTAAGTTTAGTAGGTTGAGAGTACCTACTGTCTAGATCTCCAAATATTGTTGAGCATTTCAATGTTATTCTGTCCTTGTTTAATCTATTTATGATGTCTTGCTCTGTGCCTTTGTGGGTTGAGATCATACTACCTGAGTATAAGTAAAATTATTTACCTCCTTTATAGGTGTTGTTCCTATGATAAAGGGAGTGACATTGTTGGTACAAACTCTAATCGATTTGTTTTTTTTTAATATTGAACTTAAAAGCTGCAATTCGAAATTCATTTATCAAGTCAAGTAGTTTTATTGCCATATCGCCATGACTATGAGAAAGGAAACATGTCATCTGCATAACTGAGATATTCCAACATGCTAAAGGGAGTGCACCATTAAATGTTTTAGGATAAACTAAGATATATTATATATGTGAAAATAAAATGGTCGTCCATTTCTAGGCATTATTTAAGAATGAGTGGGCCGCTTTGTACCTAACCAAACTGTCCTTTTCGATAGAGGGACTTCAAACTAAAATAACTGCAGTACTTAGGTTTCTCGTTGGTCCCTGTCAGCATTCTTTCCTGAAGCCGTACACCGTACAAATTACCAGCTAATCCAATTTTGTAAAAAGGTGGCATTGTGACTCAAATTGACTCCAGTCATCGTCGCGATAGTCAATTAACTCAAGGGAGCCAATCCTTAAAAAGCTATTTTTTTGTCGAAAATACTCTAGCAGAGATTGTATTAAGTCCAGAAGTTCAACTCTACCATGTATTGAACATGGTAAATTCCAACATTCATAGTAAAGTAACATTAGCCGATACAACTTCTGGAGTTAATATGTTTTGGACTAATCTCTGTTAGCCAACAAACGATAATAATATTGCTTTTCAATGACAGTTATATTCCAAAAATAATAAACACTATTTCATGTGCGTGTTGATTATTAAAATAAAGGCATGCTTTTAATGCTAAATTGTTATTAATCATTAAGCCTTCCTGAAAAGCGGCGGGTATCTCCAACCAAAAATTAGAACTAAAATAAATCAAAAAACAAAAATCGAGAAAAGGTGCATCTTGAGGATAAAAAGCCGGGAGGCACGTATAGCCGCCCATAAAAATGTTAATAAAAGTTGGTAGGCAGTTTTTTTGTTTCAATTATCTCAAAACGGTGATTTTGACTTATCAGATAAATTTTGTTGTAAATATTATTCCTAATCTTAAATTGAAACCGCGTTTCGCTTAGCTACTGTAATTTTGGAGTTAATTTTAAAATTTTAACACCCTCCCATACCCCTTACCAACCCCCACCCCACCAAAAACTAATGGCCAGATTGTCAGGTGCCACAGTATTTTTGTGCCAAATTTGGTTAAAATCGGGCTTTGGTTTAGCGGTTTTGAGTTATCGCGTTACAGACAGACAGACAGACGGGACAGAAGAACAGACAGAGAGACAGACATACACCATGAAAATATTTTGTATTTAGGTCATTTATGACCCAAATAACTCATGTTGAGAAATCAAAAAAGTTGCCGATCTTAATAGAAGCCAACACATACCTGTTGGTTAGCTATTAATAATCAAAATAGCTCACTTAGAACAAAATATATTGAACTTTAATTTTAAGATGTCTGTTTTTCCTTCTACCGACGACAATTATTATTACGTACAATAATAAATATCTAAATACTTGGATCTCCATATTGACAAGTTTTAAGAATGTTAGGAAAATATAGAGAGGGCAAAAGGAAACCTAAGTTAACATTAAATATAAAGAAAAAACATATTTCTATATGGATAGGTAGAGGATATTGGTTGGTAAATCTAATTTAGTTCAATGCTACAGTTATAGATTAATTCGCAATTTTTAACGAACATTTTTTGTCGCTTAAGATTGTGGGAAAATCGATCATCCAGTTTAATCTAGCAATACGTAACTGAACGAAGTAATACTGAG